TCAGGTTTCAGAATTTAAAGGAAAGCCCCCGTGCGCTCCTCAATCTCTAGGTCTGAGGGACAGGAATGACTGACAGGCTGCTGACTCATTGCAGGGGCCAGAATTCATTCTGGCTTTAATTGCATGGATTAGGGTGGAGAGGACTGGAAGTCAGCCATGGGCTCCAACACGCATGTGCTGGCTCCAAGAAGCTGGGTCTCTCCTATGTGACTCTACCTCTCAGCCCAAGGGAAGCAGAAATGCCAGGTGTGGTTTAAAATTAAAGGGGTAGACACGAGTGACTTGGTCAGCTCAGTTATTTCTGACTGCATTATTACTTTTCATTATTACTGAAACCCTAGGGTTATCATCAGGAGTCCCATGTGTTTTGTCAGCTTATCCATCCACCCACCCACCCACCTACTCACCTACCCCATCTCTGTCTGGAATTTAGTGACTTCTCCCACATTGGCTTTTGGAATGCATTGTCATTACAGGTCCAGAGCCTGACAACTGTGTACTACTCAAACAATCAAGTCACATGGCTATTTTCAAAAGCAGCTGCTGCTACAGCAGCCTGCTTCTGCCAAGGGAGCTCTTCTTATGCAGCAAAAGGAATTGGTTGAGTTCTCCTTGTAATCACTCTGCAAGAATGTTTAAAAATCTATCTCCCAGGAACTTGGGACACTGGGAAGCCAAGCAAGCACCTCCCCTCCCTGGTAAGCGGTGGCAGTGTGGCAGACTGCGGCCCTTCCAGGGGGAGAACCACCAGCAGGTCCTGAGATCTGCGCCATGTTGGAACTTACGAAGCTGGGAAACCAAACAACCAGCCTGCCTCCCTGCTAAGCAATAGTGAACCTACTGGTGCACAGCCTAGAGTCAAACATCCCACTTCCCCTACCCCCCTTCTCCTGTCCCTCCCCGTTAGCAAATGGGAACCAGAAATCTGAGCATCTCCTGGGAGGTTGACCATAGCAAATAAGGGGGATTTCCTTCTACCATCTCTTTGAAGGCAAATATTTTTATTACTGTTTTGCGCTATTCTGATTAATGGTACTGCTCTATTCAATATTCTGTTTTGATAAGTTCTATAATGTTCTGTATTTCATCTCATTTTGATATATGTGATTGAAAGAACAACTATTATAAAGATAATGAAATATATTGTGATTCATAGGTATTACTGTTAAAAAAATCTATCTCCCTTATAATCTTCTATATCCTCTACTACAGGAGCTACCCTTACCTCCTGGATGAACTACTCAGCTTTAGCAGTTTTTTGTTCATCTCTCTTTCCTTTCATTTTAATCAAAAGAAACTTTTCTAAAACATTTCACATAAGAAATCATATAGTCATTTAACTAATATGGCAAGAAGTATTTTGTAATGAAGAAAAGCCCAAAATTAGTTAAGTCAGGAGATCTAGGTTTCAGCTTAGTACAGTCAAGCAAAGTATTTATTGTAAAATAGGACCAAGGACTGAGGACCACCACACAAGCTGCCGAAGAACAAGAAAGGTGTTTGTTTTAATTAAGGGGAAAAATAAAAAAAAATTAGGATATATAATAGTAACTCTTTTTGATTTCCTATTAACTTGTTTTGAAGTCCTGTAATACTCCCACGATCTTGTTTTGACTGATTAGACTCTGTTCCATTCTGTGCGATAGTATCAAGTTTGAGGCTATAGGCAACTACTTTGAAGGCAATAAGATTCACTAAGATGCCCATTCTGGTTTGACTATCGTCTCCTTTGGAAGTCCTGTAATGTTTACAATGCCTAAGTTTTATTGGTCTTGTTTTCTACTGTTTTGTCCAACTTTATAATATCTTATGAGATAGACAATTCTTTTTAAGGAAACAAGAGACAACGTTGATAACCATTGTTAATAACCTTGTACTCTGTTCTACATCATGTGCTATGTCTATCCTTGGTTTTGACTGACAGCTTTGTTTTGCCATATTTGACTTTATTCTCTCCCCCCCCCAAAAAAGTAATAAGAACTAAGGAGTAATAAAATCCAAAATGTGTAAATTTTGTTGTAAAAAAGAGAGGGGGGAAAAAAAAAGAGCTCTAACGGATATAACAGCAAGTGTGTTTAGCGGTGTTAAATAGCTGACTATATTAATGTTTTTGGATCATTGAACACAGCTGTTTGCAGTCTCTCTGTTTGAATGTCCACTTTGTATTCTTTGATACTGTGATTTGAGCAACTGTTTCCAAGACGATAATATGTAATCTATTTACAGGTGATTTCTTACTGTTATGTTTTTTTTTTTTGTAGTTCTGTATTATGTGTACCCTTACACTGCTTTGTTTTGTTTTGTGTTTTTCTCTTTTTCCTCTTAAATAAAATTTAAAAAAAAAAAAAAGAAAGATGAGAGGAAGCAGAATGCTGTAACTAACAAGGCTGAAGTGCAGTCCAGGTGCTAGGATACAGCCACTCACAGAAACACAACTCATTCTCCGTATCTCACAGAAGCCGTGACTGTCTTTCAGTCTCTGTGTTACTAGGAAAGAAACACTTAAGGATTTTGGAGTTTCTAGGTAAATCGTAAGGCTTTCATAGAGAGAAAGAAGCAAGTATACATTGTCGCTCATGGAAAGTTAAGAGGGAATACCTGATTTTAAGATCATTTTTCTTGCTATTTTTGTATTGAAAACTCAGAAAGGAAGAAACAAAACTACCCATCTCCCAGCAAGCTCCTGGGTGGCTCCCTGCCTGACAGTGAATGTTAAGTGCACTAGCTTTTCTTACACAGTCCCTAACTTAAGATCTTTGAAATAACTTTTAGGGCTCTTTAATATTCTAAGAATTGGACAAGTGGATGAGATCAAACTTTATAAAAGATAATTAAAATGGTATTTTAAAATGTGGAAAAATGTTATGTAGAGAAAATATTAGTGTTATTTATAAATTTCAGATTGATGCTCTTTCCCTGGTTTAATATCATTGCTATTTGTTTCAATTTATTTTTATTTCTTTAGAACTCGTTAATGTCACAATAATGATAGTTCTATCACTAATTGGAATATTTTCCTATGGAGGGCTGAACTGGTAACAATGCTTTTAGGTAAATGGGAAAATTGTTCATTGATTCCCAAATTCCTTCTCTTTGGCATGATTTTTATGTGCCAAAGATCTGAAGGGAGTACAGAAAGAAATGTGGCCATCTGGTAAAATTAGTAAGGTCTAAACACAGTGCTTAGAGAAAGACAAAGAGATGTTTGAAATCTGTGCAGTGTACTCCTCTATAGTGGGACTTCATCTGTTTCAGAAATCAGCCACTGACCATGCTACATCAGGACTTTAGTAACCAACTGTTACAATTTCCAAGTTTTACATAAGTGATAGTCATTAATTCGGGCTTCACTCTCAAAACTATAATTTGACAGGGGCTATAGTGTTGCAATATTTAGCTGAAAAAATGACTAAAGGATTATTTCAACTAAGTGGTAGAAATATTCTTCAAACTGTACTAGAGTTAAAGAAATTTTACAATAGACAAAAACTAGACTCGTTAAGAACTTTATCATTTCTCCCCCAAAAATCTTGAGTATGAAATATCTTTTGAACACAAATATATTTTGTGTTTGGGAATCAGACTGTGATGGTTCACTGCTGTGTCAGGTGTCCTGCCTTAGAGACACCCTGCAGAGTGCTGGGTGTGGCTGGAGGGTCTCACCAAGAGCAGAAGCCCCACCCTGTTGGGAGTCGCACCAACCACCTGACTGGTGGCCTGAATGGAATAAAAAGGGGAACAAACAGGCAAGTCTGGCTTCTGTTTCTTTACGGGAGCATATCTTCGCCTTGGACTTTGGATTCTCAGTTACCAGCGCTGACTCTCTGGCCTCCTGACAGGGACTAACACAGTGCCCAGAGCTCCTGGCCTCTGACCTCCCACTGGGGCCGGCTCCTCTGCACACCTGACTCCATGGGCGATCTTGGTGGTCACATATCTTACGTCAAGTGTGCTTCTCTAGTGAGCACTGACTGATGCACGCAAGGTAACCAGGCTGTTCAGACGCAGTGTTCCAGAATGAAGATCCAACATTTAGACCAGCACTGTATTTTGGGCTCCGGAACTTCATGGGTTTAAATAAGAAACTGTACCTTTTACAACAGTAAGAGTTGTGAGTTGTTTTATTCTCGTCTCTCTTCCCAGAAGATGTAGACATCTACGGTGCTAGGATTTGTAAGTGTGTATGTTTTCAAGCTGTGTGTACACTCTTGCCTCCAGGGATCTCTTTCTCTTTTGGTAACCCAAATCATCAGTGGGTTTCACGGTTTGTGACCTTAAGGCTCATAAATACTTATTGCTCCTACAGTATTTGTAGAGTAAGTGAACATAGTGTTTGGAAACGTAATATATAATTTTATGTTTAATTTGCAGCTGTAATTTACATATAGTATCATGGTAAATAAAAAGTAAGTACAATAATAATAATCTTAAGTATTCTGGTCAAAATTATTACAAATTATTTTACATGTGGAAAGAAAAAGTTTAATATCTAGTTGGAAATTTCAGCTTTTTTAACAAGTCGCATTACATGTTTTAAGTCAGGGTTACTTCAGCAGCTAATCACAAATGTTCAAATACCATTTTGCCTAGATATTACTATATTTGACTTTTAGGAATATTTGGTCATTTTCAGTGTTATCAGTAAGTCTGATTAAAATTCCCATTTGTCATTTATAAGAGAGGACATTTACAAGTATAAAACATGTTGAAATTCCAGCAGCCTGCAGTTTTGTTCATCATGTGCTCTTAAATAATGAATTTAATATTAATCTAGTTTGCTATCTAAATGTGAAAAGAAAAAACAACTTGGTAACCACTGTACCCATTAAGAAATAAATTATCACAAAACATGAGCAACTTCTTCCGTCCATTATAAATGATCAAAAACTATAATTAAAACTACAGTATTTCCCTAATCAGCTGAAATCAAAACCCACTAGGTAAAAGATTCGTAACGCTAAAGAGAAGTAACACAAAAATGACACAAAAACAGCCGAATCTGAGGCAGATGTGACCAACACGCTCCTTTATTACCAGTGTTTCCTCCAGCGTGCCGCAGGGGTGCCAGCACTGAGCTTACTTGATCCCACTGTTGGCCATGGTCTGAGCCCTGCACACTCCCTTCCCCTTCACCTCGAAGGGGGCGCCTTTGTACGTGGCCACACAGTCGTCACGGGTGTACAGGTCGGGCTGGATCTGCTCCCAAATCTTCTTCTTCGGATTCAGCTCCTTGTCAGGCTCTCCTGTTGGGGGGAGAAAAATCAATCAAGCAATCAAGGAAAACCAAGCGAACGACAGACCAAACAACAAACATAAAGAAATATAAAAGCAATCTGCCCTGAAGGTTCCTAGTGAACTAGCTTGACAGCACTTTCCAATCTTTAGAACTCATCAAAATTTTATTGTTTATTTTTATGATATCAGCAGTTTAAATTGGAAAACAGTTAATCATTTCCTTATGGATGTTAGTTTTTATTGTTATAGTATCTTTGCAAGTAATGTAGCTCTGTGAATTTAAGTATTAAAAATGTAAGATACTGCTTGTTACGTTTAGAGAAAAACTGTGAAGATGAGGGCAAATTTTGACGTGTTATATTTTTATATCTGGGAGAAGCAGCTTATGCTTTATTCTGTTTCAACACATAACAATGGCTTAAGTGTTCGGATTACCAGCTGGACGAGAAAACAGCTTCGGGTTTCCTTGCTATCCTCTGTAAGAAGGAAAGAGACGCAGGGAGTGATGAGGACACAGGACTAGCATTCTCTAAACACTAGCACCACAGGTTGTTAACTGACATTTACACGACAGCCGAGGGTACCTGATCAAGTGGGCCAGGACGTGACCCGAAGGTCATGTTGTGCTACAGACCCACCCTGCCTCCTGATAACTATGCTGTTGATAAAAAAAAGCCTTTGTGGGGATGGATGATCCCTCTAATCTAACTGTTTATAGTAACTCACATATAAACTTTACAACCAATAGAAGACAAGTAAAAAGACTGTAACTGGTCTGGGCTTAAAGACAAAACAATTCTACTTTATGATTAGAAAATTGAGGGAAAAATTTAATACATCTTCAGTCAATAATACTTGGAATGAAGAAGCAGTTCAGGGAACAATGAGGAAACTGATCCATCTCTGAATTAGGCATTCATTAAGCAAACAAGAACTTTTATGGAGGTAAGAGCTTCTGGATCTTGCTCCCAGTGACTGGTAAATAGAAACCTCTTGTATTATTTTATCTTTAAATCACCAGAACTACCTAAATATCACATTTGGATTACTTCTTATTAGCTAAAATAGTATTCTCTATCCTTTATTAACTCTTTGGAGCTATGAAGGATTATGAAACTGGCCAGGACATACACTTACAGGGTGTATTCAGCAGCTAACCAGAAATGTTCAGTTAGTGCAGTGAACCGCATGATGTCTACAGTGGAAGATAATGCAATGAAAATATAAGACATGCAATGAGATAAAGTGAAAGATAAATGTAGAAGATGATTTCTCTTTCCCCGTTAGGACCATTTAACTGGATAAGAAGAGAAAAACTCTAATAACAGAATGGAACAAAATAACAATATACAAGTATACTTCTCCTCAGATTTGTAAGATTTTTTTTACTAGTTTCTAAATTATTCTTGAGTCAAAAAGCTTCATCTGGTGAACAGGTCAGGTGGAGATCTGTGAACTCCACAATGCTGGAGAGCTCGATGCGGAGATAGCAGAGTGGACACAGCACAAATTCGGATCTGCACACTTCCTCCAGAAGCTCTTGGGTTCACATGTAAGCTCCTTTCTGAACTGTGTGAGGAAATTCTCGCAGAGTGGAAGACAAAATTCCTAAGAATGAAAAGCTGGGTACAGCACAAATCTTGGCTTCCTTATTCTGTGTACATGACACTGTCACACTGTCACATGTATGCAATGCACACAAAATACTATTCACATTATATACGAGATAAATGCATAGTGTGTGCTAAGTGCTGGTATGTCACTAGTGTTTCACACATACTTATTTCCTCATTCAATCTTCTCAGTGCGTATTTAAATATGTTAACACTGTCTTCATCTTACAGGGAGTAAAACAGAGGCACAAAGGTTACAGCTAAGAACTAAAAAACACCAGGCAGCAGGCAGTTTCAAAAGTTGAAGCTCAGAAAACTCATGAGGTATGGACCACTGAAAACACCTCACAGATATAAACAGATATAAACACTGAGGCTCAGGAAGGCTCCGGGGCCACCAAGTCCTTGCAGAGCTTGGACCTGGAAGTGTTGGACTTGACCCGCGACTGCAACCATTTTCAAAGAGCAAAGGTACGAAACTTAACTAGAAGCTAATAAAGGGAACCTGCAAAGCTTGAATGTTACTGTTACGAAATGAGATTCAATTTTTGAACACTATGTATGCAATTGTGAAACTTTAACATATCATTAAATGAAACAAAAGATTATGAAAGGGCTTAATAAAGAAGTGTTAGACAAACATCTATTATTAGTAGTACCAGAAAGTCAACACTTTCACTTTTTAAATTTAATTTAAACAGCATATGTTCCACATTCTACAATTTTCAATCTCACTTGTTTTGACTATATGAGGAAAAAATTACATTTTAAAGATGCATATTATCTTAAAAATGAGTAACTGTTATTACAGGCACATGTTGAACTTTGAAGATTTTGATTATTACAATTAAAAGCTTTTGGCAATCCTTAGCCAAGTCGAGCAGCAGCATCCCAGAAAGCACATACACAGTTGAGTCTGTGTCATATTTTGCTCTCTCTCTCAAAATTTCAAACTTTATATTTGTTATGGTGATGGGGAATCAGTGATCTTTTGTGTTACCATTCCAACTGTTTTAGGGTCCTACAAACCGTGTCCAAATACTGCAGCAAACTTGAACTGATACACGTCATGCACATGTGACGTTCCCTGACCTGTACCTCCCGCCCTCCTCCCGTCTCTACCCTTCACCTGCAGGGCACCTGGGCTGAAATCAGGCCATTAATAATCCTTTGGCCTCTGAGTGTCCATGGGACAGGAACACTCACCTGATGCCTACTTTAAACCAAAGCTGAAAGCAACTAAGATTACTGAGGAAGACATGCTGGCATCTGAAATAGGGCCAAGCGCATCTAAAATAGGATTCTTGTGCCTTGTCGAGTACAAATAAGAGGGGTATTGAGGAAAATTAAGTGTTATTCCAGTGAACACATAAATGAGAAGAAAGTGAAATGTCTTCACTGCTGATGTGGAGAAAGGTAGAGGGGTCTGAACAGAAGATCAAATGTTCCCTTACAGCACAGTCTAATCCCAAGCAAGGCCCTAATTCTGTAAATCTATAAAGCCTGAGCGAGGTGAGGAGGCTGCAGAAGAAAAGTTGGAAGCAGTAGAGACTGATTCATGGACTGAAGGAAAGAAGTTACAGTACCTTGAGTTACCCAGAAGGTCCAGCTAAGTGAGGAAGGAGGCAAGCGATCTGCAGTGTAGACGCAACAGCTGTACACTGGGAGAAGATGCCAGTGAGCACTTGGCAGGTCATGGCCCAGAGAGAAGTGAACAGATGGCTTCGAGGACAGGCTGGCTGTCTTCTTGTTAGGGGCCCAGACAGGCTGTGACTTTAGGTGAATCCAGTGCTCATTTACCATTCCCCAAATCCTAGAGCTTTAAGAATTACACTAAATGCATTCTGCCTGTGTCCTATCAGTGGAATGGCACATCTACCTATAGCATGATCTACAGCACATATTAAGCCCACTGTGGAGACTACTGCTCACTAAAACCAGTTCGGTTCAAAATATTCTTTCTGGTCAGCCAAGAGCTCTGATGAAGAAATGAAACAAAATGCCTATTGCCTTCAGGTTTGCTAACCTCTGGACAATGGCAGTCCAGAGGTCAAGGAGGAATTTGGACTTTCAAATTTTATCATTTAAAAAATACACTTAGTAAGCCTTCTGCTACTATGGATAGTGATTCCTCTAATAGATCCAGGCAAAGTACACTGAAAATGTTCTGCCAATGGTTCACTGTTCTACAAGTCATTAGGTCCACTCATGATTCGCAGGAGGAAACAAAACACCAACATCAACAGGGCTTTAGAAAACGCAGATTGCAAAGCCCACAGATAACTTAGAGGAGCTTGAGGCTCCCGTGGGAAGGAATCGCACTATGGTAGAAATAACAACAAGAGAACCAGAACTGCCAAAGGCTGAGCCTGCAGCTGTGTCTGCATTTCTGCAATCTCAAGATACAGTTTTAATGGGTGAGGGGCTTCTTCTTAGGCAGGAGCAAAGAAGGGTTTCTGAGATGCAACGAATGACAGAACCAGCACCAAAGAATTTATTACAGACTTAGGTAAGAAAGCAGTGGCAAGCAGCAGTCAGCACCTCAGAGGACTCAGGTCAGTTCCGCGGGGAGGTCGGTCATAAACGCCACGGAACAGTACCACATGCTACGGAGAAACCCTTCATGACTGAAGGATTCAGTCAGTGTGGGAAATGTCACTGCTCTTATTTTAAGAAAGAACCACAGCCACCTCAGCCTTTGCAACCACCATCCCAGTCAGGTAGCATTCACAACACCGAGGTGAGACCCTCCGGCAGGAAAGACTATGATTCACCCAGAGTTCTGGGCATTTTGAGATTTGGAGTAAGAACCAGAAATTTCACTTTAATAAGGCCATTCCTTTGCATAGAATGCTCAATGATCATCAGCTTCCTTTAGACACCTGGAATGGCCACAATAACTTTAGTGTGAGTTTAATCATGTTTGATTAAAACATGAAATTTCAAAACTGAGTTTCTGAATTATAATCATGGTTACAATCATCAATGGTAGATACAGCTTTGTAAAAAAAGGAGTCAATTAATTTTACAAAGCTAACCTATGCACAGAAAAGATTTGGTAGTTTTATAGGAATGATCTTCACAATGATTAAGGAAGATACTCAGCTGGATTCTCCAACAATGTCGTTTTAAAATATCTTACAAACAGGTTTTTAAAAATTTATTCTGACTAATTTAATGAGTGTCTAGCTTATGCTAGACACTACTCCACATGCTAAGGATACAGTTGGAAGTGCAAAAGAGAAGTGTGACTTCAAAATGCTTATACTCCCATGAGAGGACAGTAAATAATGTATACAATACTAGGAGGTAATAAGGGTTTCGGCAGCACCTGAAAGGTCTGAATAGGATGAGAGCAGTCTGGGGCAAATCGGAGGGCAGTATCCGTATTCGGGGAAGAGCGGGGCTCACTGGAGTAAGCAAGGGGGAGCCGAAGCCACGAGCACGACGCAGTAACAGGAGAGTGTGCCAGGCTGTGCCTACACTTGGTGAGCGGGAAAACACACAGCTGCATAACCTGCTTTACATCATTTTCCTGGAATAATTAATGAGATGGAAGGAGGCGAGGGCAAAAGCAGGGAGATCAGTTAGCAGACCTTCACTGTTACCAGTAACGGACACTGCACAGGCACCAGGATGCTAGTGCTGGGAATAATAAGCAGGGTTTAGATAGGTCCGAAAGACAGTCACTTGCACTTTCTGAAGAAGATGAGATGAAAGCCATTGTGGAAAGGGAAATGATCAGACGCCGTTCACTGTCTGGTGTAAGGCAGTGAAGACCTTCACAAGGCCGCTGAACAAACACCTGGATAAAGTCACTAAGGGACCAGCACAGAAAGGAAAAGGAAGTCAAGGACCCAGGCCTGAGGCCCGCCAGTGGAGGAGGCAAGAGAGGGATACCAGGTAATAAGCAGAGGAGACGAGCAGGGCAGCAGGCAGCCAGAGCATCGTGCCACGTGGTGCCCGAAGCCAGGGGAACTCCGAGAGGCCTGAGAAACCGCTGCTGAGCTGAGGGACGACGGGACTCACCTGCCGCAGCTCTGGGGAGTGGGAGAGGAAACCTTAGCGGGGTGGGTGGGTCTCAGAGAGCAGGGAATCATGTCCAAACAACTTTGGACTTTAAAATAAAGGAAGCCAAAAGCTAAAGCTATACTCTGTGATTAACTATTAGTTTAGAACAAGATTCAGTATCAATGGAAACGAGCATGGCGTTACAAGTTTAGAGTCCAAGTACAAATCGCTGTTTTTTATTAGCCTATGAATAACACACCATTCTTAAAGGGCTATCATTGCTTTTGCCTCGTAGATGTAATACTGATTCAAGTTGTTCTGCCTGGTGCTATGGGGACCACTTATCTCAGGGAAGTACTAAAATGTATAGCTTCCCACATGTAAGATTTTAAGAGCTGGGAGGGTGGGCAAGGCTGTAGGTGTGGTCATTAACACATTAGTCAGTGTCTTCAGGGAGTTGCTAGCTGTGTAATTGAGAAAAATAGGGGTGAAAATTTTTGTTTAAAGGCCAAACAGTAATTTAAAGGTTTGAGCTCCAATTGGAATTTCTAACCAAACCTAGTTAACACAAACTAAAATGTTGATCTCTAGAAACTGAACACATCACATGAATATCAAAGTGTACCAGCAGGTATCTAAAACACATGCTTAAAAGTAAAGCGCTGTTAAATCACCATATTCTCTCTCTCTCTCTTTTTTTTTTTTTTTGTCTTTTTCCTTTTTATCGGTACCAGGGATCGAACTCACGACTGCCTGTTTGCAAGGCAGGTGCTTATGCCGCTGAGCTACATCCCCAGCCCCAAATCATCATATTCTCTATGACAAAAAATCTATAAGACTCATGGTCAGTCTCGCACTGTTACCTTTCCAGATTTACAGCTACAGAACTAGTAGCCGTATGGAGGATGCAGAAGACAAGTAGCAACAGAACGCATGCCCCAATTTTATCAGATACTCAATGCTGTTCAGCTTGGTTAGGTGCTAAGTGTAGAAAATAATTCAAACAATCCCACAGATTATTTTAAAGGTAGACTTACAAATATTACAAATTTTATAAAAACTAACTTCTCCATGATGGAAAGGCACAAGGGAGAATGTGTAAAGAACAGGAGACTTTGCAACAATTTAAGTGTATGTGTACAAATATCCAAAATGATCTACAGATTCACAAACACGGTACAGGTAAGAAATCCACATTGGCTCATTAGCACCTCTAATGCTAACTCAGTGAGTAACTCAACAAAAAACTTCTTTTCAATTTGTTCTACAGTGACACTCAGTTCATAAAAATGGATTCCAATGGTGCAATAATCATCTGTTGATGCTAAGGTATAAGAACACGAGGTGTCATAGCAAGGAAAGAATTATAAGCCTTAATTAATAAACAAGCATTAAGGAAGAAACTTAAGTGTCATCAGAGAGCTAGTCACTTCAATGCTCTTGTCCTTCCTACAGTTACAAAACTTAAGCAAGTTTCTCTAGGCTTCAGTTACCCAGCTTGTAAAAAGGGAGCTAAAGCAGATTTCTTCTGGTTTTAAAGGTTTGACTGTAACGTTCCTCAAAAAGTAAACTTTAAAAAAATATCAATTCTTAAGAAGTTACATAAGAAGTAGGCCACATGTAAATGTGCATTTTCCTCCTGGCGCGGGAATTAAACCCACGGCCTAATGCACAATACATGACCATCTACCACAGAGCCACACCAGGATTCTTTCATCTTTACTGGTCTTTCCAATGTATTCTTACTCTTAAAAGAATAATTTATCATATTGGAACCCATCCAAGTGTAGTGACTCAGGCTTCCAAACTGAATGCAGGTTAGTCTAGGATGCACATGCAGCTTACCGAGGGGGAGACTGGGCAGAGGGTTTTGCTACTGTGGGGACAGAATGGTGACCATACATTCCTAGCGTCTAAAGCCACCAGGTTTCCCTGACAAACTGTTCAGACTGGGATTTTTCTCTACAAAAGATTTTCACAGCACAAATAATGATGGTCTCATCAACTGTTAAGGTTTGCCATCTAGGAAGATTCAAGATATATGGATATACCCAAAATCACAGGTGCATGTAAAAAATCCTGTGATTTTTTATATTAGTTTACCTCTAATTATGAGACTGGAACTGCATTTCAAAAAAACTAACCCATGCTTCCACTCGTACCTGTATCTTACTATGCCTGTGTTACACTCTTCGTGTGCTAGTGAAGGCATTTAACAAAGCAAGCAAGCATGCTATCTAACCCTATCAGTCTCACATCACATTAAATCTCACCTGTCTACAAATGTCTTCAAATTAATTCTGTCTTTTTAACCTAATTCTACTGGCCACCATAATTTATTTTGCTTTTACTAGCTGAGTGAATGACTTTTAGGTAAATGTCTTAATGTTTCACTGTTTTTCTTTTTATGAGGTACCTTCATTTTAGGAGGTAAACATTTATTCTACATCTATCAAACCTTCTTTCTCTTCTGCTTTAAGGACCCATTTTAAGAAGTTTTTTTCACACATTGTGATGTCCTCTGTCTCAGGAGCATTTCTATTGGAGAAAATAAATATATAAAATGAAGCTTTCTTCTAGATGATTAAGTATCTGGATTTAACACAGGGGTTTTCTCTGCATTTTGAGAATTAGGCATCTTTCCCCATCTCTGTATTTTGTGCTGCAACTGGAGACAATTCCACAGTTTAAATAATTTTGCAGGACACTGATTTCTTCTGCATTTTCAGGTTTTGTGCTACACTCGCTCAATGTGCTGTTACCATTTAACAGTTAATTAATGTAAGGCCTTGTGCTCCACACACAGGGCTGATTTTACCAGCTAAGCATTAAAATCATCACTTTGAAGCCTCACTTCTGAACTATTAAAATAATTACTTTATACTTACCAGGGAAAGCATCAAAAGTGACTCTGTCTCCAGGAACAGACCCATCAGGAGGAGCCAGAATTTCAACCTTGTCCGGTGAACTAGCACACATCACCATTGCCTGGGACAGGACCCCCCTCATCTTTGCAGGCTTCAGGTTGCAAAGCAAAACGACCATTCGATTTTGCATCTGTACGAAACATAAAATTGACGGCTAAAGCTGTACAGATGATTGGAATAATCACCTGGAGAATATATTAAGAGACACGTTATACTAAACAGCAAACATTACACTTCTACGGATGCATCTTTGTTTCTGCGGCTCCAAAATCACCTCTCGTTAGGAAACTGTACATTCATGCAACAAAAATCCTCTAAACAGCTTACTAGAGCTAAAGAACGGAGACCTTTTGGCTAAATACTTATTGAATGAATAAAGGAGTGAAACAGATGCGGTTTTACATTCTGGCTACCATTGTCTAGCAATGGGAATGTATAAAGTTGACTCTCCTGTTTGTTTAAAAAAAAAGAGAAACCTTAAGATTGTCATTCCACCTGGAATGGTAACAGGAAGATGATGGCTGCAGGTACGTGGCCTTGCAGTCAAACCAACATAAGCCATGAGAACAAGCCTGTTCATTTCCTGAACGGGAAGGCTGCTCACGCTGAACTGCAGATAGCACTGTATAGGACAGCACGTGTACATCACGGGCACGAAACACTTCAGGGGCAGCTGCCCTCATCGTCATCAGCATTTTTACTATTGTTCTATCAGGAAGTGTTATCATGTCTTGATTTAAAAACCACTGTTATATGAACTCAGGAATCTGAAGCTGGGAGAATCAAAGTTTTACTTTCTTTTCATACTTGCGGAACAAAGAGGTGAGGGGATCAGGGAGACTAATCTGACATTTTTGATGGGCTCCTTTATTCATTAAAAGCTACATGTTTGCATTTTGTTGTAATTTATTTTAAATATATATATATATATATATATATTTTTTTTTTTTTTTTTTTTTACACAAAATTGAAACATTTTAAAAATAAGACATCTTTTACTCTTTCTATCCTCAGGAATTCTATCTTAGTTTACAAGTCTTTTTCAGGGTTTTATCCAGTTTATTTTTCCCTGAGACAGACAGGGTGTCACTGTGTAGCTCAGACTGGCATTGAACGCATTATGTAGCCCAAGCTGATCCTGAACTTGAGATTCTCCTGTCTCAGCCTTTGTCAGTGTTGGGAATGAAGCTGTATACCACACGATTAGTTCAGCTTTTCTATGGAATTCACACTCAAACTAATCACTTGAACTAATCATTACTAGCTTACATCACATGGTCACCTTGAGACAAGAAGAGGGCAGGAAGATGACACAGGTAAGTAACTGTGACTTTAGGAACACACTTTACCTGTTCAAGAGGAACATGATTGACCAGGCCGCTGACAACGGTTCTTGGAGCTGCTTCCCCCACATCTATTTCTTCTACATACAAAGAATCTGCATCAGGGTGTTTTTCGGCATTGATGATGCGGCCAATGCGAAGATCCAGACGCGAAGCATCTACTGGCTTAGAGACATCTGCTGCAGATGGCTGTTTTTTCTCCTTCTTTTCTCCTAAAAAGTATTCATCAAGGGGTGAACATCAGACTAAAAGAAAGCTGTATTATGAGAAACCCATGGTGGCAACACTGATGAGCTTAAAAGAAAAAAAGTTTATCTCCCATCTTCACTGAACAACAAGAAAAGAACTATTTAAGTCACCAAATCTCAAATACTATTTTAACTATTTCTCTGAAAACCATCTACATTTCTAGTTACAGAGCTTGGCAAACTATGGCTCATAGGCTCAACTTAGCCAGCCATCTATTTGTACAAGTAAAGCCTTACTAGAACACAATGCATGTTCACTCATGTTTGTTTTGTCTGGACACCCAGCATCACAGCACAGCTGAATGACTGTGATAAAGACTTTTTGGCCCCAAAATCTAACATACCCTTTTATTTTAAAAGGTTTGCCTTTCTCTTGCACAGAGCTTTAGAAAAATCCTTTAAAATTTTTTCCAGGACTCTTTCAAACATGAAATTGCTTTATTTAGAAAACACATGCTAATCAATAGTCAGACACAGACTGACTACAGGACTAACAGTGAACTTGGAGTTCACTGATAAAATGTTTCTCTCATCAGTTATATGCAAAAGTATGCAGTGGATTTCTGCACTTCTCTTCAGACTGGAGGACTTTTCAGTTTACCCACAGCTAACTATCCGAGCAGAAGAGATTAGTTTATTCTAACCACACTTTCACAATCTTGTTCTTATTTATAAGCTGATAATTCAATTTAACATATGATCACTTTAACCACAGAGTCAAAATGCAGCATGTAAGTCTACAACTAGCTTTTACTTTTTTGTCAAAGAGGAAATAAGGACAAAATGGAAACTTAATTCTCTTCCAATCTGTATACAGAAAATAATTATTGTAGTTTGGAAGCATTCCTTTTCAACTCTACCTCTGTTTACTCTTTCAGCATTCACTACTGAAACAGTCCTCAGGCTCTGAAAACAGATGAGTGGCTCACACTGCTGTGGCATACGAAACTCCTTTTTAGGAGAACGAGGAAGACATCTATATCTACAGTAGTTTTCTTATCTGCAGTTTCACTTTCTATGTTTTATCTTGCTGCAGTGAATTGCAGTCTGAAAATAAATGGAAAATTCCAGAAAGAAATAATTTGTATGTTTAAAATGGTCCATTGTTCTGAGTAGCATCATGAAATCTCCAGCCATCCCACTCCAGCCTGCCCGGGAGGTGAATCATTCCTTTAACCAGAGTATCCATGGTGTGTATGCTACATGCCTGTTGGTATCTTAGTGGCTGTTTCCCCTAATCCAACTGACTACTGAGTTCTCAAAGAGCTTGTGTCAAAGGAACCCTTATGTTAATGATGACAATGGTAGTAATGCTGACAATTTTATTACAGTGCATTCTTAGAATTATTTCATCTTATTTCTGTTAATCTCTTGCTGTGCCTAAACTTTATCACAGGCATGTATGTGTTAGAAAAAACAATATCCAGAGGGGTTACAGTATCATTCAGACTTATGAATCTTTTGGGGGTTTTGGAATGTAACTCTATGGTTAAGAAGGGACTACTGAATGCGTATGTAATAAACATTACATAAAGAAACAGAGATGAGTGCTAGAGGAGGAAAGCAGGATCCTGGAAGGACATTCACAAACTGTACACAGATACTTAAGAGGTAGCAGAACTACTTTAAAATACTGACAATTTGTAATCTCATTAGGAATATTTTAAAAATGTATCATTTTCCATATAACAAATTAGCAATAAGTTTTAGAATATTAAAAAAATTGGTTTTTTGGTCATAAAGATTGAATGTACAGGCTTTGTACTTGGCTGCATTCCCAGCTCTTTTCAGTTTATATTTCAAGACAGAGTCCTACTAAATCTCTTAACTGTCTAGACTGGGCTCAATCTTGTGATTCTCCTGCCTCAGCCTCCCAGGAGTGCTGAGATTATAGGCATGCAGCACCATGCCCAACTACCAAATCTAATCTTTGTGTGATAAAACTATATTTATTTATTTATAATATAATCTAGTCATATATATTTTTAAACTTTTACTTCACAGGTATCTGAAATATCTTTGTTAGGAATCTACATTTCAGAAAATCTACACAAGTTTTGTTATGGACAGGGGTTTTAGAAGTATTCCACTGACAATGAGTGAAGTACAGAAATACCACGTGGGCACCTTAGCCCACACGGCAGCATGGCACTGGAACACAGCAATCCTACACCCAGCATCTACACTACAGTCCTTTGTGACCACCATTGCCCAGTACATTACTTGCCAGCTACATACGGCTACCGCATGTAAATTCAAAATGCTCAAAACCAAATTAGAAACTGAGTTATTTAGCCATGCTCAATACTGAACTTTAAAAGCTCAACAGCCACGGCAGACTTCGGCTCCCATGTTGGAGCAGGCAGACGGGATGCACTTCCACCACCTCTGGAAGCCCCCTGGCACAAGCACTCAGCCGAGGCTCCCAGCGCTCCTGTGCTCTCTTTTTCTAAAGGATGCTGTCTCATAGGGCTACAGATTGACCAGCCCCACAATCAAAACTCTGCTTCTCCTCAGAGAACTCAAGATGGACTTCACACACTCAGTAAGAATGCGTTGGACGACTACTTGTGTCTGCTTCTTTTTTTTTTTTTTTTTTTGTCTTTTTCATTTTTATCAGTACCAGGGATCGAACTCACGACCGCCTGCTTGCAAGGCAGGTGCTTATGCCGCTGAGCTAAATCCCCAGCCCCCCTGCTTCTTAATAAATTTTATGAAGAATTAGATTTTGCTTTCATTGCAATCATGCCACCTAGTGGTGAAGTTATGAAAGAGGATGTACAGCATCTACCTATTTTTAATTCAAAGAAGCTCCTTACAGTTACCAAAAGGAACTGACACACACCATGCTAAATTAACTTAGGTTAGTCCACAAATCTCTCAGCCATTTCTGTTTTTCCAAATAACAAACACCCCATTCCTTGAAAATGGCAGTTATGAGCAAGGAATTAGGCTAAATTCTAGAAGTACTTTTTAGACACAGCTGGTAAAAGTGAATTCTAGTAAAAAGTAAAGGAGTTTAGTTAAAAGGGGACTTAGATTTGTAATTAGAAAAATACTTACAGTAGCAAAGTAATGGAAAAGATGAGATTTCAATACAGATTCAGATAGACGATCAAAGAACTTGAACTAACAGTAATACCTAACAGAAGTTCAGAACTGGATCCTAGTTTTACTTGGTGATAGGAAATGTAAGACTTGTTGCTCACTTAGGCATGAAGGCCGAGGGAGAAGGACAGGTTTGGATAGCTACTTGATTTCAAGTGTCACTGTCCAAGTAGACAGTGATCCCACCTACAGCGTAAGCTCTGTGGGTTCCTGAAACCTTACACGGCATGCCTCAGTCCAGACAACACGCTTTGACCGTTATCCCTTGTCTATCTTCATGACAGGTCCCTATTTGTGACTTCTTTGAAACTATGCCCCAGACATACTTAGGCATCCCGAAGTATGCAGGGGTTCTCTACTGCACGTCTACCTGTCTGTCTCTGCCATGCTGGCCCCTCCCAGGAGGCCAGCGCCAGCCTGCTGCGCTACTCAACACTCTCACCTGCAGAAGTCCCCACGTACCAGCAGCACACTGCTGCTAATTGTATTCACAAGTTTTGTTCACAAGTTTCAACTTTTTGTTTGACACCATTATCATCAGCACCAAAATGTTAACAGTCAAGAGTCAAATGAGCTTAACGGTCAAAATTACCTTTCTTTTCATTTTTTTCTTTCCCCTTTTCTCCTCCTCCTTCTGTTTTTATCTGCTCTTTGGCACCAGGCGATGCAGTTACTGGTACAGAGTGTTTCGCATTTTCAGCAGTCACAGAATTGGCTTGCAGTGGAGTAAAAGATGGGCATGGTATTTGCTTCACTGAAACAGATGTTAAGTGCGTATTAGACGAATAAAAAGATTAAAAAACATACTGTGACTTGTAAATCAAAATTCCTTTTCAAAACAAAAATTAACTGTGTATTATTATTGTCAAGTATCTAGTACTATGTGAAGTTATAGAAAAGCTGCCAAGAAATGAAGCAAACTTTAACCATTACTAAAGTAACAGAAAATGACATGATTTCTATTTAATCGCTAATTACTAAACTGAAAAATTACAGATAATAATAGCTGGTATTTATTACGGATTTATCATGTCCCAAGTGCTTTTCAAACTGCTTCATATGAGCTGACTCATTGAATTCTCACGTGCTGATTATTTTAGCAAGGATAAAGATAAGCCACTCAGCAGAGAAGGCACCAGCCTGCTGACATGAGGAGACGGGAGGCACAGGTCTGCGGGCATGGGCCTTGGGCGGCGCGGGACGCACGCCTAGATCAAACTGTCCTCAGCAACTGGGAAGGTGTTTTGGCATTAGTCATCTCTGCATTAGCCTGAAGGCTGACAGTTACTTGGGTATAATTTCATGAATGAAAAGCAACTTTTTAAATAAAGTTCTTCAGCAATGTTTTAAGATGCTAAAAAGAAATTCACATACCTCCCCCGAAGATGGGACAATATAATCTTGCGAGAGATTTTAATGTAGGGTTAGTATTTCATTAATAAAATAGTTTAAAAGTTTTAAGGCTCATGAGATCAATTTTTTTTAACCACTGAAAGAAATGAAAAGTATTTTTACATTGGAATATTTTCACCATTTACTTCATTCAGTACTTCTATTCTAATCTACTAGTCTTAGAAAACATTTACTAGTTTCAAACTTTCTACTGACAAAAAACATTCTCTCTAGCTGACTGCTCTAATCATCTGTCATTGATTTTGCCCTTATTCTTACTTAGTTAATTAAGCGTAGACTTTAGATGATATAATGATGTAAATTTACCTAGAAATGCTGAAAATAATAAAATTTAAAATTTATGACAGTATTTGAAATTATAGTTATCTGCTGGCTTGAATAACTTAAAAATTAGGTGGTTTTAGGTAAACAATTATTGTTTTCATTTTTTTCATAAAGAAAACAACTATATTTGTATAAAATGTTTTAAGGATAAAATAATGCATATAATGCACTTGGAACATAGCATTCTGCACAAATTTTAATAAATGTTAAATAATCAGAACCACAGCTACTCATTAGCAAGTGCTCAATAGACAGCTTGACCATGAAGCTGTGTATAGAACAAAATTAAACGCTTAACTTTCTGAACCCCACACTGGGCCGCCTTTCAGTGACGCTGGCAAAATCATTTGCCTTTTCCAAATTTTTTTGCTTCTTTGTTAAAGCAGAGGAATGCACAGAAGAGACCCTGACAGAGATGTAGTAAATGATATCATTATTAGAAATCAATAACGTATCACTACTATTGTCAATCACCTCCATTCTGAATTTCAGCCTGAATCAGCTCCTGTTTCAGATTTTCAATTTCTTTCTTCAGTTTAGCATTTTCAACTCGAAGCTTCTTCTCTTCTCTCAATGTTGCCTGCAAAACTAGGGTCAAGAATATATAACTAAAATAGGTGTTTTTTAAAGGTTTCTTTTTAAGTACTATTTGGAAAGAGTGTGATCTGTCTATATAGGTTAGGACAACAACAAGAACCTCTTTTATGCTAGTTTAATGTTCATTAAAACAACATGACTCAGGAGGCTGAGACAGGAGGATTGCAAGTTCAAGGCCAGCCTGACAGCTTAGTGAGACCTTTAGTCTCAAAATTAAAAAAAAAAAAATTAAAAAGGCTGGAAAAATAGCTCAGTGCTCAGTGGTAAAGCACACTAAATTTGATTGCCAGCACTGTAAATTCCACAAAACTAGATTCAACCCTAAAGGACAGAAATTCAGGTTAGATATTTTATGCACATAATTTTGCAATTTTTAGGTAAAACTTAAAGAATGCCTTAGTAGGGAGTGATATGAAATGTATCTTCCCCTATAAAATTACAGGAAATATTTTATATCACATTTTATCTCACTCAATTTTTTTACTACCTCTAATGCTTTCCCAAATTACTTTAAATGGGTAATCTTCATCTAGCAGGATTAAAATAATACGTTGTTTCTCTACATATTATATACTGTTACCAATTCTAATTACTGTAAACCTAGCATATTATTATATTGGAATATCAATGGAATCAAGAAGTTATGAAAACGACTAAGTAAAAATTTATATGGTGAACGTAACTTCCCTTGGTCAATATATGAATTCAATTTCTTCAGAAAACTTTAAATTTTCTTACTTGCTTTCTCCTTTAGAAGAGCAACTTGCTGTTTAAGATACTCAATAATTTGATCCGCCTCTGCCCCCTTCTGCTCCAGTCTCTTCAGAACGGCATCACTGGTTGACATTTTTGCCAAGAAACGGCAGAAAATCCTAAATACAGAAATAAAAGTGCCACTGTACAAGGAATAAATTTACTCTATAAGACATGTTTTCTGCCATATCTTTTCCTATGAAAAGCAACAAACTAAACAAGGCAGAAAGGTTATTTATACCAATCCCCACATATATTTATAAGAAAAAATCTACTTTGTTTCTAAATACAGGAAAAATGCTATTTGATCACATTTCAATTTCAAAAATTTAAAGCTTTATAATATTAAACAGCATTACAACATAATATTTGTACCTTAAAATGAAAGAATCATAATAATAAACTTAACTAAGTTAGGGAGCATCACACTTCTGTTTTACAGCAGAGAGTCCTGAATTCCTTCCTCACCAAGGATGGTTTCCTTCTCCACAATCCTGGGGACTGGACCCAGGACCTCAGGGAAGCTGGACAAGTGCTGTGTGACTGACTTACGGCTCTAGCCTTCACATTAATCCTTTTGTATGTAGGACATTTCTACTATTTATTGAAATATGTATAATTTCAGGAGGAATGTATGAAGAAGACACACATACTAATACAAAAAGTTAGCAATTAGAAAACATCCTTATATATTTTCACATCATAGTCATATGCCTATATGGAAGTAATATCAGTATGTATGATGTGGCATTTATTAAAACTTTTAGAAGTTTGGCCTTATAGTAAATTGAAAATATTTTAAATCTTATCAACATAAAGAAAAATGCATATAAACAAACATTCTGAGATTAACTCATCATGTTATAGTTTAAACTGCTGCATACTAACATGAAAACCACATTGACAAGAGGGTTAATAATTAGCAACCTTATAAACTGGACTTTTACCTGACTTAATACCAACTTATACTTCAAAGTGTAAAAGTGACATAAACCTTGTTTTTAGTATATAAAACTGCTCTGGATAAATCCTGAAGGTTTTGATTTAAAAAACATTGGCCAATGGACAAATAACACAAAGTTGTTTTAGAATTGCAAACTGTCATACACTTCCTATCCTATATAAAAAGTGTTCTATAATTTATGCTTTTTTAGAAAAATAACACTGAAATATTTACCCTAGAGTTGACAATATGTGATAGACACAATATCAAAGCAAAATAAAATTCTACAAAAACAAAGTTGTTAGTAAATGAAGAAAATATAAACAGGGAGGTTAACCTGGTAAAACCCTAGCAAAGGTGCATGAGTCCTACATGGACTACTATTTTAAGAGCTCTTAAAAATATGAACAAAAATTTGGAATGGAACTACCACCTTACAATTCTGTCATTTTCCATAAAGTGATCAGAACTATCATGTTCCTCAAATTATTGCAAAGTCTGAACTTTAGAGGAAAAATAAAAATGGCTATATGAAGAAAGTTAAAGTAAAAATACTATACTTTTCTGAATTTTAGTATGCTGAATTATATCAAGTTTAATGTCTAATATAAGTAATGAACAAACATATTCAATACATGAAATGCACCTAGTACAAACAAGCAGTAATGAGTATTTAAGAATGCGAAGGCAGAGGCCGGGGATTTAGCTCTGTGGCATAAGTGCCTGCCTGGCAAATGCGAGGTTGAGTTCAAGCCTCGGTAGCAAAAAAAAAAAAAAAAAACAAGAACGTGAAGTTAGAGATACACTTTAGAAAAACACAGTTTGCAAAGGTATGGCTTATAAAATGTTATTCAAGTTTCAAAATAAACTAGTATTTCAAGTGTTACAAAAGAAATTATTTATGCACAGCATGATTTTTACAAGTGAGCCAATAGCTCTGACAAGTCTCCTACAAATATGACCAGCCACATAGCAAAAACAGACTAAACCAAATAATCGGATAAAATAAGAGAATTAAAGGAAAAAGCATGTCAGTAACAAAAAGAAGTATTACTGGAAAACACATATGTAGGCTATGAAGTATTAAAATACAGAGAGATAATGACACCACTAGGCCAGTCAGAAAGAAGATAATTGCAGAAAATAGTAGATGCTACCTTAAGTTTTCTGATACATATTAGATAATACCTATTTTGTTTTCAGTATCAGTTATGTCCTTTTCTAAACACAGAGGAACTTGTCTGATTATTTCAACACCATGAAGTACCCTGTACCATCAATTCTACTTATGCAGACTGGCAATTTACTAGAATGATAAAAATGACGTGGAATAGTAAAGTAATCACACAGACCTGGCAACAAATTCTATCCCTTGCCCCTCACCCACTTAACATGGTGACTACGCACAAGCTAGTTAACCTCTCTGAGACTTAGCTTTCTCATTTACCAGATGAGGGTACCTTTACACATCTCACGGGGTAGATGGGGGACAGAATGATATCCACACATACTACTTAAGATTCTGGTACACAGCATACACACAGGAGACAGTTAACCAAGGCCAGCCACTGGGCTGAATTTGGGGAAGACAAAAAGAGATAGGGCACCTATGTAACGTCACTCCCAGAAGCTCACTATGCTCTGGGCTGCTTGCGGTCATCAGTTTCTCAGTTCCCAGTTATGATTTTGTACTTTCTGAAGGGTTAAAGACCTAACAAATAACAAAAATACGACTTACAAAGATGTGTATTACAAATGTACTGAATTTGATTATGTTACAGGTTAATTTGTCAGTGGTATAAACCCCATGAAAGAGGTATTAATATAGTTACATTAATTCTGAATTTTATGTTTATAACAGAGAGCAAAATATATCTAAGGAATCCTATCCTTGGCAAGACTATGAGACAACAGCCAACTGAAAAATCTCTGTGCACTTTTTCCCCCAAATAGTTACTGCTATCAGAACTGTGGAAGCTACGATGGTAACAGTCTTGGGAGTCTTAAATTATATGCAAGGAAGGAATAATCAACACAACTAAATGGAATGAAGCATATTTCAACTTGAATTCCCTCTGAAGTCTTCTAAGAAGACCTACAAAAACTATCAGCTCTAGCTCAGGAGGTAAAACAATTCACAAGTAATAAACAGAACTCTGCCAAACTAGTCAACAGTATCAAAAGAAAAACTGGTTTTTGAGAATGATGTAAAATTTCCTGGTTTCAGGAAAGGAAAAAAAATGAAGAAAAAAGAACAAACATTTACTGAATGCTTTTTGTTCAACTCTGCTGCTAACCTAAAACTTCTCTATAAAATAAAGTCCTTAAAACAAAAACTCAAGGCTGGAAAGCACCGGGGAAGGAGGATTAGGGGCTGATTGATGAAAGGACACAAAGCTACAGATAAAAGGTATAAAGTCTAGCATTCTATAGAAGTGTAAAGTAACTGTAATTAAAAATAATTTATTGTGTATTCTGAAATAGATGAGAGGGTTCTAAATGTTCTCATCACAAAGAAATGACAAATGTTTGAGGTGATAGACAAATTACACTGCTTTGATCATCATGCACAGTACACAGGTATCAAAACATAACATTTAAGCCCATAACATGCACTATTATCATCTGTTACTTAAGAAAGTAGCAAAAAATTCACCAAATCCCAAGAGTGTATGCATGTAAAAGTACGTGAGCTTGCAATATGAGAAAATGCTTTGCATCCTAATTACTCAGTGAGGCAATAATTACTAGTTTCCAACAGTTTCCATAACTCATAATCCATGATCATCGTAATATACTAAGTCACTTTAAACAATTTTGCGACAATACCTCAATAATTCCATTATACAGGAAGCCTTAATTAAAAGAATAAATTTTTTTTGCTAAAACTCAGTTTTCCCCAATAATTAAAAAGTTCCTAGCAAAATAAAACTCAGGAGTGACTATAAAATGTACAAACTATTAACCAGTGTCTACGCTCCCTCTATTCATAGAGAATTGTTATTTGGAAACAATATATGTGATGTCAATAACAAAATGTCTTGTGAGATCTAAAAACAGGTGGAGTAGCTTTTAGTCAGGTCTGTGCATTAATACACTGTTAAATGTTAAGGGCTGTTTACAGAATGAGACATTCTAGAAACCGGTTTTTCTAGTAGTTTTTAGTTGTCATTTCAATTGTTTTGATGTTCACAATTATCTTGATGATTTCTACTAATATTAATCACTAGCACAGATGAAGAATATAGGTTTTTTTCACGTGTATACAGCCAACAGCCCTTAATTTAAAAACATACTAAACAGGTCACATGGCCTGGGTAAAGTTAAGGTCTGTATTTTGCATTTTCCTAATTTACAATCCTTATTTTCTCCTGACTTCACCTCTAGTTTCTTGCCATCTCCTATTAGAGTTCTTTAGTTCTTTTTCCCTGACTTGATTCCCTAATACTGTATTTTAGGGCCTGACAGTAATCCCTAGTCTCTCCTGGAGATTATAAATTGTCACCATGCAGTCTCGGATGCCTTTGCATTCCAGGGCTAAAATGTTAACACACTGCCCAGGTCCCTTAGGGGGGGCAGACTGCACCCTTCCTTTTGCCTGCCTTGTTCCTTACCCTAAAGTAACTTAAACTCGTAAATTCAACTTTCCTTGTAGTCCCAGATTTTGTCCCCAGGCTGAGTTTATAGTAGATAACAAAAATAAAGGTTCTTTGCATTTACTGAACTTGCAGACAGATGAAGAAAATACTGTAAGCTAAAGAAACTTTAAAATTGAGATTATACTGAGGAAGACAGTAGTAATTTAACAACTGGGCTTAAAGCTCAAATTTTTTACCTTCCATCCTACTGCTCTTCTCAATATTGTACTTTATCACTCCGTGACTTTTTCAACTTTATATGAAGTACTAGTCAAATTTCAAAATCTTAGTCAGAGTCAACGGAGTTTGTAATACGCTAACTCACACAAGGTTCCTCACAGATAATAGTGACATGTAACACTGTAGAGCATTTACCATGTGCTGGCTAAATGCTTTCCTGGCTCACCTAAGAATACGGTATAATCACCTTCATTATATGGGGAAGAAAATGGGGTAAAATTAATTTGCCTCAGGTAGTACAATTATTTAGTAAATTGGCTGATTCTGCAACTAGCTCTTTTAAAGTTCAAATTATAATTTCTAAAGGATTTAATTAAAAAACATTTTCCAAATTATTTAATGACAGAATTCTAACTAAGGAGCACCAGTCAGTCTTTATTGAAAATAGTATTCTCAACATAGTTCTGGAAATACTAATTTAGGTTTGTGCTAAATTTTTTTTAAAAGTCATGAAATTAAAATATAACAATTAGTTGCATATACAGTAATTGTAAATATAAAACATTTACTGACAGAAAAGACACCAAAAATGAGGATCAAATATGTACATTGGGTTTGAATGCAGAATCAAGACTTTTTACTTTTCATTTTTACAAGATTAAAATAACTGTAATAAATATTTTATATGAAAGCTTTTGAAAAGCTAAATGAATCTGTCCTATGATATTATCTTAAACTGCTAGCAACTGTATGATGCCTCTAATGTCTGATACCAAATATATGGAATTAGAGTACATCTTAATCACTAACACACTAATAGTGTTGCTGAAAATTCTTTCCTGTAACTTTTATCACGTTAGCTTGCCCCTCAGTGGTCCCCCCCCACTTCATATTAGTCTTCTCTAATATCTTTTAAATAGCAAATCTCTTGTCCCAAAATTAGGAATCGAATACAAACAAGAATCTAATGCCTTGATATGCAAGTTTTAAGTGAAGATCCTTACATGTACTTTGAAGCATAAGAGCTATATAAAAATCTAGAAGTGTCCCTCTACTTTTCAAAATATCTAAATTTCAGTTTCAAAATTGCAATTATACAAAAATTTATATAACTCTTTAGACAATGTAAATGCTATCAAAGCCAAGATGTTATCAATTGTAAAATGATTGCATTTATAAGATGCCCTACTATTTTAGGTAAACTGCCAAATTAACTCCCACATTAAAACAAACAATTTATTATAGGGTTTAGCAGTATGGCACCTTTTAGCAAGGTTAAAGTTATGCTAGGATTTAAGACATATGTGTCAAAAGTTACAATTTAAAGAAAGGTATATTTAAAATATAGATAGTGCGAACAATATATCTCAGAGACACACAGCATACAGCATATACTAGCAACCACCACTGTTAATTCTAGTCTTTTATCAACCTTTGCCAAAATCTACAGAAGATCAAAAATCACTTTTTGTGAAAGTTCATATTTACTCTTGATTTTCCCCCCCACCCTTACCGCAAAGCCTTCTTTCCTTTTATGGATGCAGTCACAGGATCCTGGGAGTTTAAACACAAAGGATAGCTATGAGTAAGGGGATGGCCATAGAGTAAATGGCTGTAAAGGACAATCCATGTAACTATGACCATTACTACAAAAAGTTTCTTCCCTATTGAAATGTATACATTCAGTCTAAAAAGAGGTAAATCTAAGTCTGCTACAATCCTCTTACCTAACGGAGCTTTTACCTGACTCAGATTATCTTTAACAGGAATCAACCATTCACTCCCCACCATTTTTTCGCAGCTAATAATAGTTAACTATTACTTTAATGGACTAGGACCATTACATACTTTGCCATGTAATCTTTACAACTTTGTAAGATATTATTTCATTTGAGACATACTCAGAGAAATTGTATGATCTGCCTAAATCCACTCAAATATTAAATGACAAAGCCATGATTTTTAGCTAGTCTGTCTCCCTGAAATCGTATCATAATTCCTAGGGTCTAAGATAATTAAACTTTCATTCAAAATAGTCTTGCACATTAAGAGCAGCAGGAATAAGACTGGTTATTTTTTTACCATCTGTAGTGGACCGACTGTTATTCTCCCTATGAATTAAAGCGAAAACCCCCAAGTGGTCCTTTCTTGCACTTCACTGTTCCACTCTATGAGTGATCGTTTTAAAAGGAAATCAGATCATATCACTCTACTGATCAAAACCTTCCAACGCCTCCCAGTTTCCTTTAGGACACAGGGTAGATTCACTCAAGATTCTTTATAACCTATTCCTATTCGCCTTGACTTTTACTATTAGCTTTATCCCTTTCATTCGAGCCTGATGCAGACTTCCGTGCTGTTGTTAGGCTTCTGTTTCATGATCTTTGCAAAGATGGGTACCCTTGATTTGACATTTCATCTGTCACCTACGAGAAAGTCATCTTTTCTGTGAGTTTCTCCGGCCACGCTAAATATTCAAACTATATCCTCCTTCCACGGTTGGTAATTTTTCTCTTTAGCACTTACCATGACATAAAAACTGGTATTTTTATTTACTTTGCTCAATTTGTCTTTTCCTCAATAAGAGATGAGCTAGGGGATTTGGGCAGGAAGTTTTGTCTACTTATTCATTCGTTGCTCTAATCTGTTCATTGTTTTTGATCTAGCGCCTAAAATGGTGCTTGTAATGTGGGCGATTCATAATAACTACTTGCCAAATCGAAGTATTGTCTCCATCCTCTCTCCCACAAATATCCAGGGCCTTGGACACACTTATATAAAAGTAAACATGCTTACGAATCGATTTTTTCATCACTGTCTTTTCCTTGGCTCTATTTCCCATCGCTTAAACTTAGTTCCTTGAAAAGGTACCAAGTTTTTTCCTACTTTCTCATGCCAATGCGGGTGCTAGTGCGATCAGTGGGAACATCAACACCCGCAAGCCAGGTCCTTTCTCATGGAGGGGAACATGGGAAGAGAAGGACTCTAGCAGTGGCAACCTGCCTCGCCCAGACCCTCGGAGAAATCACTCACATGAAAGGGCAGACAGCAGTTCCAGGACAGGAAGCGACAGCGACGCGCACACGCTGACACGAAGAAAGAACCCCCTATTAGGTGTCCCTGCTTAACGCCTGAATGTTACACATATTCGAACCCACGTTCTGTCGTTCCAATTGTGCAGGTAGTGCTATTCACTCTGGGTCTCCCACATTCTCCTCCAATATCACTAACCCCCGTCACATTCTTCCTCTTTTACTACATTTGCTCATAGTTTTGGGCAGGCATTCGGAGGCCAGAAGTTGGGGTCCTTTCTCAACATTGCGTCGCGCGGCTGTGAAGTCAGAAGTGGGCGCCAAGCCTCTTGGAGCGCGGAGGCGGAGTAGACTGGCAGCTGTCAGCGGGCATTTCTGGGCTCGCCTTCCTAACCAGTTCTGAGTAGCGGACACCGGCGTTCTTAGCTCGCCTGTAAAAGCTAGTCTCTGAGTTCCCGGTGCTGAAATGCATTAAGCCGGGGCATCAACACGAGCTACAGTATTGGGTCCCCTCTTGTCTTTGTGCCCGCCTGCATCCTCAGACCCAGAGGCAGGTACTTGGGTATTCTCGCGTTGTGTGTCGTCTTTCAGGGGCGGGTGAGCGATACAAGAGGGTCTGCTGCGAGAGATGGAGCGAGCTGTAGAGCTTCCTGGGCCCTATCTCTGTCCGTCGCTACAGCCGTTCGTCTTCCTCGGTCACAAGTCTTTAGAAAACTGGGCAACTTTCGAAAGTAATCATTGCAAAACTGCTTTAAAGGAAGATTTAAAGAGCAGAGGAGGGGGATATGAAATCTTCCATTATTTACCAAAAATTACGGACTTTTGCTCTGTCACGTTTCTGATTCTCAGTTTACTCCTTTGATCAGTAGAAGAAAGTGAATCAGTGGAAAAGGGTGAATTGAGAATTGACAGTGACCGTTTTTCAAGTGCTCGTGTCTTTTAAGACACGATATACACGAAAATACGATATTTATTTGAGGCAGATAATTTTGAATGAAGGTATATAAAATGAAGTATGTAACCCCATTTGCCCACTGGAGGCATGCAAATAGTATTTTATTCATGATAAAATCAACATCTTTTTTTTGTAATGTTGACATCCACTCTTTCATTTGAGTCGTTCAAATCCTAGTTCTTTTAGGGCAAAGACTGTTGTCCCTTGACAGACTATAGTTCACTGTACTTGGCCTAGTAGCTGGAAAAAAAATTCTTGTTAAGAGGTGTTTAAAAATGTTTGTTGAATGAATTTTCAGACCCAACCACCTACACTATTGTTCTCTTCTTGTAACCTGTTACCTTAGTGGGTTTTTTTCAACTGAAAATCTAACGGTACTTTGTAGATAGGATAATATCTTTCTGTGTCTCAGCCTTGCTACTCTTGGCCTGTTCTTCAGAGATAAATGCATTTAATCTTTTCTAATTCTAGGTCTATTTGAATAAGTTAAAATGCTAATCCTTTTTCATTAATGTCTTAAGATAGTGGGTAGCATTCACAAGTTGTATAACAGTTACAACCATAATTTTTCTCCAAATTTTGGAATAATTATAATTTTTACTTTTAGTATTTGTTATTTTGTTATATATATATATATATATATATACATATATATATATATACGTATATATATATATATATGTGTGTGTGTGTGTGTGTGTTGTTTTTTGGTTTTTGGTTTTTGTTTTATGTGATACCGGGGATCGAACTGACAACTTTGTGCTTGCTTGCCAGACAGATGCTTACACTGGTGAACTGAATCCCTGGCTGTATATGTATTTATATACTTTATAGTATATATACTTTTTCACATAAATCTTTTTTTTTTTTTTTGAGACAGGGTCTCACTATACAGTTTAGGCTGGCCTCAAACTCAAGGTGATTCTCCTGCCGCAGCCTCCAGAGTGCTGGGATTATAGGCATAGGCTGCCACACCTGGCTCACACAAACTTTTGAAAACCTATTTTGGCTCCTTTTTTAAAATAAGAAAAGTAGTGACTCTTCTTTATCAAGGCAGAACCCATATTCACCTGTGTGACTGAGTTTTTGGTTCCTGTTCCTACACTGTGGTGTTTGTAAATGACCAGGCAGTTCTGAGAGTGTAGAAGAGATTTTATTCAGTGGCAAATGAACAGACGAGGTGAGCTCTCCCTATAAGCACATTCTCCAGCAGCTCTGGAGTCTGCATTTTTATAACTGTGGGTCATAAGATGGAAAGGCAAGCATGCTGTTCTCAGAGCTTTTCACAGAGAAGAAAGATTTCCAGGAAGGAAGGTAACCACTCTTTCTTTCCTAATTTGGGAATGTTCAAGCCTGACATGTGTGAGTAGGTGTGTATTTTTTTATTATTATTCTAATAAGGTTATATGGGTCCAAACCCTTCTGGAGTGACAACATGGTGTCGGAACCAGATGGAGGGCCAGATATATAGCTCAGTGGCACAGCACCCGCCTGGCATGCATGAGGTCCCGAGTTCAGTTCCTGCTACAAAAAACAACAACAAAAACAGATGCAGCAAATACAGAGAAACCCTTAATAGTCGGCAGTTTTGAGTATGTGTATCCAACATGCAGTCCAACAACATCTGTTAACCATTACAGCTGATATGACAACTGGCTGTCAGTAATTATGAGGTTTAGTCTGGTGACACCTGTGCTTTCCCTCAGCCGGACTTTTACTTGTATCTTGCTAAGCTTAATATTTATAGTTCATTCTTAACAATAGTTTTTTCTTTTTTATATAAAAGCCAATCAAGTGCTTATAGTATTAGGCTTTATAATGACTCTTTAGTGCAAAACCTAGTAGTATGCTACAATACATTTTTTTTTTTTTTGCGTTTTTCGTTTTTATCGGTACCAGGGATTGAGCTCACGACTGCCTGCTTGCAAGGCAGGCGCTTATGCCGCTGAGCTAAATCCCCAGCCCCAACAATACATTTTCTTAATGCTTTTATTGTTTTTCCTGTGCTTATTTAAGAAGTATTTTTGTAGTATTAAAGTCAAGTTGATTCTTTCTTCCCTGCTAATGATAGAAAATCATGCCACAGTTAAAGTGTACATTATTTTGTAGATTATATAGGGTTTTTTTTTTAAACCTTTCTCACTTTCTTCTTTAACCAACCTCACTTTATTTTTTTTGCTTTCTGCACACAGTCTTCCCGTTCTTTGTGTGACACACAGAGAAGCTTCGGTTACCTTCCTGTGGTGTAGGCATTCCTTTTGGAGCTGAGTGGCTCTTTGTGTAATTTAAACAAAATTGCTTTCTGATTTTTGGATAGCTTCTATTCTGGGCTTATATTTATTGGACGTTGGGTAAATTACATTTTTTCTTAAGACTACATCTTTTGATTGCTTACCCTTTTGTTTTGCTAAAATACATCCTAAAGAAATTTGCTTTCAAAAGTTATGCAGATGGTAATTTTGTTTTTGAATGTTTCTTTGCTGATGTATTGCTATCTGCTGTTATGATTGATTGCTTGGTCACATACAGAATCAAAACCGTGTGCCTCGGACTATTTTAAGGCTTTGCTTTTTTCTAACTCCCACTGTTGCTGGTGAGAAGACAACCATTTCTCTCTGAAATGGTTAAAAAAAGTTTTTATCTAGTTATACTAGATACTTTTGGAAATTTATGGTGACCTGTTTAAGATACAAGTTTATTCTCTTGGTAACTAATTCATCCAACGGAGATAAGATACATATCCCAGTGTTTAGCATGTTTATTTATGCTTCTTGAAGTTACAAGCCTTTTTAACTTGAAATTACGTGTTTCCCTAAAATTATGGGGAATTTTCATTCTGTCTTTCATAATTTTGTCTCCTTTTTTTTTCTATTTTTGAAAACTCTTGTAAAGTAATTTGTGGCTTGATCCGTAGATCTGTTATTTTGTTCTGAGATATTCATCTATTTGCCTTTTTGCTACATGTTCTGAGCCATTGTGTGATCTTTGTTTTCCAGTGCTTCTGTTTATTATGGCAGTCATGTAATTTCCAGTTTTTTATCTTTGTTTCGCTGGCAGTCTCTAAATTTTTATGAGACGAAACTTACACAAATTTTAAATGCACTAACTACAAGTGACAATTCAGTGAGTTTTGATGTGTGTGTTTACACTTTAGCAGCACCCTAATAAACATACACTAATAAATATATACTACTATAAATAAAAGTTTCTCTCTCCCTGGCTGCTCAATTCCTCCTTCTCCACCCTAAGGACTACCTTCTGATTTCACTGCTTTTAGAACTATAGTTCTGGGGTATGTTTAAGGGAGCCATATAATATTTACTCTCTTATGTTAGCTTCTTTCATAAATGTAATGTTTTTGAGATGTATTTCTATTTTGGCATGTTTGTTCCTTGTTTGTGGTTGGGTAACATTGCAGAGTATTGGAATGCCAAAACTTGTTTATCCGTTCTGTTACTCAATTGTGTATCATCTGTATCACTGCCTCAATTTTGTAGAGAATGGCGGAAACTCCTAACCTTGCATGCAAGGGGATTCATATCAGAAAGCCTAGGGCAGCTTTGTTCCTAATATCTCCAAGCCAGAGATGACTTAAATGTCCAATCACATTTTTATGAATAAAGGTTTCTTTTTTTTTTTTTTTTTTTTTTGGTTAAATGCCATATAGAAGTTGGGATATTTTTTACTTTAGAAAAGTTTTCCAGGGTTCTGTTTCCTTTAATGTTTCCACCAGCATTATATCAGAACTCCAGATCCACATTCTCTTCAACATGTGTTATTACCGGTCATTTTAACTTTAGCTCCTCTGGTGAAAGCAAAAAACATCTTTCTGTGACTTTAATTTGCCCTTTTCTGATCTTTCTTATGTGAATGATCTTATGAATAGTAGGAGTTTCTACAGGAATATAATAGCAAGACTATTAAATTGTTAAAGCGATTATACTAATTTATACGCCTAGTTACAGTGAGTGTATGATCCAGTTTCTTAACTTTTGAAATTTCTTATGTTAATTTTTACAAGCTAGTGCATGTCAATTTTCATGTGGTTTTAGTGAGCAATTCTTTTGCTTATTGAGGTTATTTGTCTTCTCATGTATTCATCATTCCTTTTAATTCTTCTGTGAAATTTTTTCTGTAACCTGTTTTATGGAGTGGGTACCATATTTTCTCAAATCTGTCTAAATGTATGTTGGATTTTTTCCAAAAATTATTTCAATTTGCTCCAAAGCCAGAATTTGGAGGACTTATTTCATTCTTTAAACTTTGTAGTGTAGTCTCTCCTAAACCATCTGGTGATCCTCCTACAGTTTATTATTTACTAGTCAAGGAAAGCTTTCTGAGAGCTTTCTGTGTGGAAATCCGTGTTAACTGGCACTCTTGTGGCTCTGCACATAGCCCAGACTTAACTGTGATACTGCAAAGTCAAGACGCAAGAGGAGGTTTTGCCCTCCTCAACTAGTGCCTGAACCAGCTAGTAGTATAATTTTAAACAAAAAACATTTGGTGTTTTTTTGCTTGTGCCCGTTTATTTGCTTGTTTTTCTCGGAGGGTAAATTATTGCCTGTTGAGTAGCTGGGGGCAAAGCTGATTCTGTACTTTTCAGCGTTTCAGCTCCCCCTCCTGAGTGCTGGTCACCGTGGTTCCGACCTTCTTCCAATCCAAAGAGGCCCAGCCAGCGCCTCTTGTAGTGCTTCTTTTTTCCTACTTCTTCTAACAGTACTCTCCCTTAAGCATTCCTCTTTATAGTGTTTTCTTAAAATCTTTCCTCACCTTAATAGTAGGTTATCCAAGTGTTTTTTGGTATGAAAGTGCAGTGACACACTTGATCTGTTCTACAATCTTTGAGGTGTCATTGAACATGAAGTGTTTTAACTTTTATCTGTTGAAAACCTTTGAATTTGACTTAGAGCTACAATACACATTTACATTTGACTGTTTTATCCTCTGATACTGTATGGAAATTTTTAAACTTTCTTTTTTTTTTTTTTTTTACTGTAAAGTGTTCAGAATGGCAGCCTTCCAAGTTTCATATTAAATCTAAGAGGAGAAAATACCGCCCGAGTGTTTGATTAATGTATCATAAAATTCTCTCTTGTTTCCAGATTGTCTTAAAGAATTCAAGACTCCAAAAATGTTTCCCTTGAAAGATGCTGAAATGGGGGCCTTTACCTTCTTTGCCTCAGCTTTGCCACATGATGTTTGTGGAAGCAATGGACTTCCTCTCACCCCAAATTCCATCAAAATTTTAGGGCGCTTTCAAATCCTTAAGACAATAACTCATCCCAGACTGTGCCAATATGTGGATATTTCCAGGGGAAAGCATGGTGAGTTATTTGGATTTTTGGTGGTGGTGATTGTTGTTGTCTTTGTTTTCTTAGTTTGTCTTCTCTACTTTGTCATCAAGATTATAGATATACACTAAAAATACAACAGAGTCAGTATATACATGGTTTTTTTATGTTTGAAAATAATTTTGGCTAATTGTTCAAATAGAAAGTCGCTAATTTTTTAAAATAGTATTCTTTTCATGTAGGATTAAATTTACAAGGCTAAAATAGAAAAGTTGAACTTTATTGCTTAAAAGGCAGTGTTGCATTGCACAAATGTTTATTGTGTTTTTACTTGTGTAATTTTTCCACACCCATTAAAGTTGCTTATGGTGACAATACTTTTAATTATTTTAGGACCATTTTTGACAGTTTAATTGCAGACCAAGATTCCGTATCTTAAAGTTATATTAAATGAATTTCAGTAAAATGTATGTATTTCAAATAAAATAATTTAGAGGCATAAAAATCATATGTGAAAGCAAACTATATACTTGATGATATTCAACTATTCTTTTCCATAAAATATCAATTTTCTGTGTTTAACCTAGTATTAAAGATTCCCATAAATACAAACCGTATTGTTTTCAGAAAAGTAAGCTAAACCATACCTTGAAATTGGATTATTTCTCTCAAAAGTGTTTGTTCTGAGAGTATTTGTGTTTTATAGAAAAATTTTTGTAATGATACAATTAATGCCTCGTGTGGGCATTTATTTTCTATCAGGTAGTATTTTAATACGTTATACATATCTTAACTAAAAATCCTCATTACTACAAGATAGAAACTGTTATGTTTTCATTTTACAGATAAAGATGGAACACTATAGTAATCTGAAACATCTTATATTTTATTATTTGTTAAAAGATTATAAAAGCTGCTATATGTCTATAATAATACAACTAGCAACACTAATTGCATTATTTGTTGCCTTAAATATTTTAGAGCTCAACCATATACCTAATTCCCTGAATGTTTAGGTAGTATCAGGAAACAGTGAGAGACACAGGATAGAAACTGATAAAAAGAGATCATTGTCTAGCAGATGATGTAAATATTTGATTTTCATGTTCTTTGATATACATAAATATATTATGCATGTCTACTTATATTTCCTATATACATGAATATATGCTTATGGGAATATAACATGTGAATATATATATATATATATATATATACATATTAAAATATTTATGATTGCACTGTGGTCCGTTTTCTTTGCAAAATTAAATTTAATTGATTGAGTCAGCAAATACAGTAAATACTTACTATAGTTGGCCTGACCTATCACATGAGTGATTCCATATTGAGGCCTCAAGGAGCTCTCTCCATAGGAAACAAATTCAAAGGACAGAACTGATAGAAAACAAAGTTTGAAACATTTACAGAGATGCTGGTGAGATGAAGATTTTTTAGGAACTGCTCTTATGCATTGTGGCATTTCTCATATCCTATTTTGGCACACAGAGCCGCTATCCACTAAAGTTATGATACCTAATACATTCTTGCTTGATTCTATAGCTCTCCTTGTGCAAGATACCAATATTTGAAAATGAGCAAGTCAGGATCCTAATTTCCACATAAACCCCAGAAATAACAGAGATGAATAGAACCAGGATTATAGTACAGTAATAGTTGTATGATAAATGATATATAATGTCTTATGTTTTAAGAGTATAAAGGAAAGACTGATAAATTCTGCACTGAAAAATACTGATATTAAATTTCTATCTAAAAGTTTTGGTTGAATTAAGGGTCTTAGAATGGGGGGGGGTTCTGTTTGTGAAACTTTATTTCAAATAGTGCTACTGACCTAAAAGATTAATGGATTTTTGAAAGACATTTTGGGCTTTTATTTTTGAAATATTAATAAGAAACAAAATCTTAGTCTTCTTATTATTTTTTGTATTAAGAGAAGTTTTCATTTCTTTATTAACTATAATCCTTTTGCCAAAAAGAATTTGAGAAAAGTTGCAGACATCAGTGTAATATTTAATACCAGTTGAGGAGCCTTTATTCGAAAGTCCAAAACCTGAACTGCATTGGCACACAAAAGCCTTGGAACTTGGGAGCACTGTGGATTTCAGATTTTTGAACTAAAGATGATCGATTTATAAAGTCTATATACATAATCTGAAATCAAAAAACAGATTCAAAATACTGTCATCTCAGGGACTTTGGGTAAGGAATAATCACCTTATAAATATACATAAAAATGTGCAATACAAATGTAGGAGAATAAAAATTCTTTCTCTCCTGTGTTTTGTGTGGTAGCTGGAGGCCATGAATCAAATGATAAAAGACAAATTAGAGCGAACTCAAATTTAATAATTTATGAATGCAAGGGAGTTCACAAAAAATGTAACTCAGTGTGTCAGAATTGGGGGCTAAATGCCATGTTAACAAAGAGCCATGAAGTGCAGATAAAGGAAAAGGGTTTGGACTTCTGGGAAGGGGTAAGTTATTTTAAGATGGCTATGAAATGTATGATAATAAGAATTATTTGGTTAAGTTTGCTGAGTAGGTAAGAGTCAGTGTTTTATGATTTGGAGGGAGAACTCCTTCACAAATGGAGATTTTGGTCACCTTTACCTAGGGAAATTTATGTATACATAAATTTTATACGAAAAGGAGGAGACAGAAAATTACCTTAAGCACAAGGCAGTCCTTAAACCAAGTGGTGTATTTTGGGGTGGCATATTCTTTTCTCCTTTAGGGAGGAAAGAAAGTGTAAGATAAAAGTTTAATAATATTTTGAATGTATGTTTTTTTCCAGGCAGACTATAACTTCCTGTGTAAACTTCTATAGGTCAGGACAAAGAAGAAAATCCTGATGCTTCAATTACTTTTATAATCAGGCAACATACTGAGAAAGTAATTGCTGGTTATTAATCTGAATGTGGAAAAGTGATCCACTGTAGGTTTTATAATGTCCATACTCTATTGTCCACGTGAAGTATGGGAACATTGGTATAGAGACTTCTTGGCCTGAGGATCTGGGATCTCCTGTGTGTGTTTCTACGAGCCATGTTCTCAACACATATGGCTAAGTTTGCTGTATTGTTCTTTTCCTTGTTGATCTCTGAGCTGGGAGTTCTTTTGCTTACTGTCTCAAATTTTCTGTGGGTAAACATTAAGGAAACTTGACACTGGGATAAAAGCTCTTAACTCAAGTGCTACAGGGACCTATGAAGAGGTCTTAAAAGGTCTTTGACTCCCTTGAAATTGCAAATAGTGTGTGTAGATGTGTGCACATGCATTTTCTTGATGATAAATTTATAATTAGATCATTAGATTATTACAAAGAATTTCTGATTTAAAGGAAAACTTTAAAAGCACTGATATAACATATCAAAGATATGGAAAGATTATCTTCTTTAGCTAAAGGCGAACTTGAGACATTTTGATACAGGATTCTGACTTCCCAAAGTTGACTTGGCCTGTACCTAGTGTGGTAGCATAACACATACCTAGTTATGAAGAGGCTGCAGTCTGAACCCCTCTGTAGTCGTTTGCCTCTTACACACTGCAGAGAAGCTTCTTTCTTGTGGAGCAGTTGGGGTTCAAATTCAGTTCTCTGTCATCCTGAAGAAAGTGTAATGTCTCTAATTTACTTAAATATAACTCTAAAGACTAGTGGAAACTGTCCTTACGGTAGGCTGCAGATAGCTCCAGCCATTTGTCAAAGGCTCAGGAAAGAACTTTTGACAAGTTTTTTGTTGTAAAATAACTTTTTGGCCAGATGTGGTGGTACATGCCTGTAATGCCAGCTGGCCGGAGGCTGAAGTGGAAAGATTGCAAATTTAAGATCAGCCCGGACAATTTAGCAAGCCCCTGTCTCCCGATTGAAAAGTAAGAAGGGTGCAGGTGTGGCTCAGTGGTGGAGTGCTGGCCTAGTGTGCACAAAGGGTCTTGGGTTCAATCCTCAGTGCTGAAGGTTTTTTTTTAAAAAAAAATTTGCTAAAGTTATGTATTTGTCCCAAGATTTTAATGGCATAGATATTTTTAAATTACCAGGAATGTTTATGGGTGTGGTATGGGTATCTGTATATTATGTAGCAATTACTAGATAATTAGAGATATTGTCAGTTCCTGTGTGCTCAATAGTCCTCCCAGCTGTTACTCCAATCTAGTTATAAATAATAAAGAATTTCCAGTTGCAGGATTGGCCCAGTTCCAAAACTGTTCAGAGATTGGCAGTAGAGTGGATTATCATGATTATCCATGACTGGTGACCACATTTCGTTTTGCCTATTTCCTTGTGTGAATCTGTCTTCTCAAGCTCTTGCAGCACTGCTAGGTCTTAGGACTTCATTCCTAACTGGGCTTTATTTCTCCCCGTCTGGTATCTGTAAGCTTTTAGGGTTTCACTTGCTGTAATTGGCTTATTGTCTCTGACCAGGTTTTTCCTTCACCTCCTTCTCAGGATAATTGCTTCAGTAATCCTATTTCTTGAGCTCCTCCTATTCCTTCCTCTAGCTAAATAAGCCCCTGTAAATACTAAAATTAGGAACTGCCTTACAACAGAACCCCCTCTCAAGATCACTCTCTGTAAGTTCACTTATGAACCGTCTGGTTAATTATGTGTCAGATAGAAGCGTTCAGTATGTTCACGTCTTGGTGAGTGCAAAGCTAAAAGGCATAAGCAGGAGATGAAACAGTGCAGGGAGTGACCCACATGAAGCAGGGGACCAGTGGAGTTGGAGCCGTGAAGGCGTCCCCAGGAGGAGCAGCACAGGTGTTGCATTCGGGGCCGGTAGAATTCCCGTGGGGGAGCAGGCAGTGGCTGGACACGTCTCAGCATGCTCAGTCTGTGGCACACTCACTCAGTTAGAGGTCATAGTTCAAAAGGGCTGATGTGGACACATTTCTGGGCAAGTTCAGGTCAAGGCTATTAGAGCACACGTCGGAAGAGCAAAAATGGCAGACAGGGAGGCTTTTTGGCATGAAGTTCAGTAGAATAAGAAGATAAGCTTTCTCTAGGTAACTAAAGA